CGGCAGGAAGCGGGAATTGGAACAGTTCCTCAGCAAACACGGCGTTGATATTTGCTTCCTTAACGAGACGTACCTTGGGTCGGACCGGGCCCTAATGTTTGCAAACCATGTTTGCCACCGGTCGGCCCGCCCAACTCGAGAGGGAGTCACAGCGATTCTTATATCACATTCCATTAAAATCTACTATCCTCCCAACTAAGCCTAGGTCTCCACTTGGGTCCAAGAAAGAAAGAAAAGACAAAAACTTGTCTGCATTTTTGATCTCATCATTCCACACCCAAAACTAGATGTGTATCCGCTTTAGTTTATGCTGTGCCTTGCGAATTGCTGAGCACACGTCCAAGGCGTCTTACCGAATGTGTACATAGATTCGTAACTTCAGAAGCGGCGTGGGTGTTCCCGATGGAGACAGTGTCTTAAGTTGGTTACCGCTCAGCGTCCACGCGTCGATCTTGTAACGAAGTGCAATCTACATCAGAATTATGGAAACGTATCGGGGGAAACAAGCTGTTACATTATGTGAGTGAAAATAACGGGAAAAGTCTCGGTGTGGCTGAACACAGTCCTGGAGAGCATGCACTCTTATTACAACAGAATTCAGCAGTTTGTGATTTACCTCTCGTCGAGATGGGGCGTTATTACAGGACGATGTCATTTCCGGGTTTCCGTGGGACAGACATTTCATACTCAAGACATCAGGAACAGGCGCAGTTTTAAGGATCTGTGGTTTTATGGCGGCGGCGAGTATGAAGATGGTTGTCTTTTGGAATAATGAGCGATCGCCCTGATGATGGAGACAGGAAGGACCTCTGAAACGTAGGTAAACTTGCACCAGACTACACGGCGGAACAACCCAGAAGACAGCCAGCCTCTATGGCGAAACTGCTTCCATACTAAGCCGACAGCCGTCGATCTCACTGTTAATGAGCGACATTCTTCCGTGGGTGAGCCACTTCGGAAATGCATTTTTTCACGCTGCAAAGGCCGAACAGACCGTAAGTGCAAGTACTCACTTCAACTGCAGGGACTCACAGTAAGATAACATGGAGTGAAGGTGAAGTTCTCCCCACTAAATGGTACCTGCACCTTGTCGTGGTGGTGGGGCTTGAGTATCTCAGCGATCCCAAGAGCTATGCTGGCGGTAGCTTAGCTACTGGTAGGGCCTCCCTAGCCAGATTGGTCGAGGGGGAGAGGTCAGACTAAGACAGGTACCCTGGTCCTCCACTTTCAGGGTTGGTCACAACGCTAACAACCTTGCACCGTAAAAAGGAAGATGTTTCGAAACCTCAATCAAAGCCTCGGATAGAATGGACCTAACAATAGGACCGAATGGAAGAGGAGAATTGAGGAGGCCATGGACCGAACGCGGACCGGAGAGCCATAGAAGAAGAAGAAGAAGAAGAAGAAGAAGAAGAAGAAGAAGAAGAAGAAGAAGAAGAAGAAGAAGAAGAAGAAGAAGAAGAAGAAGAAGAAGAAGAAGAAGAAGAAGAAGAAGAAGAAGAAGAAGAAGAAGAAGAAGAAGAAGAAGAAGAAGAAGAAGAAGAAGAAGAAGAAGAAGAAGAAGAAGAAGAAGAAGAAGAAGAAGAAGAAGAAGAAGAAGAAGAAGAAGAAGGAGGAGGAGGTGAAGTTCTAAGCTCTGGCCGCTTTATCACAGGAGAACTAGCACCCGAAATTCAAGTTGCGTCACCTCTTATGTAACCAAGAAGTTCATTACCGTGTTGACAAAACCCGCCACTTTAGCCCAGTACTCTCACCTATTTTCTTAAGATCATTTTTAATATTATCCTCCCAACGCATCTAGGTATCTCAGCGCGGCAGAATAAACTACGAAACTCCTAACTGCGCAATTCTCTCCAACGTCCTGAGCTTCTTCTTTCTTAGAACACGATATTTCGGAATTCGTATTTAATTCCCGCATTCTCTTACCATAACGGCTTAGCTTAATTATTTTATCAGGCCCTAAATAATTATTTCTGTGCATCAAATTCATATGGCTTAGAAGAGGGACCGTGGATTTATATTGTGAAGATGTCATGAACTTCGTGATTCCATAAAAGGTCAGGTACTTGTTGACCACGTGAATGACAACTGGCTCTTGAATAAGGATTCTGCTCCACGGAATTAGCTTTGTCACCTCTGAACGAACGCTAAAGAATATGAAGTAAATTCTGTTTGACATGACTTAGCAGAAAATCTTCTTTCCGGATCATTGCTAAGTTGCAAGTCAGAGTCCACAGTATCAGTTTAACAAGACGTTCAATAACAGGACGTTCACCGGAAAATAGTATCGTTTCTGAATAACGTACCTTATTTCACGTACAGTTAAGAAAAAATGCTCGGAAAAGATTGAACACGAAGCTACTGCAGTTTAATTTTGCGAGCGTCGCTGAAGACGAACGTTTTCTGATAAGTCTGACATTTGATATCAACATCGTGCAAAGTGAACACACACAGACCGAAATACAGTTTTAGTGTAACGAACCAATCAACTACACGAAGAAGTAAACAGTTGCTCAGCTGGTCAATTAATTCCCTGTATTTTATGAAACCACAAGGGACATTACCGTATTAACAACAGCCAGCTACTGGGCCCTATAATGACCAAATTAATTCAGTCCAAATACTCTCACATTTTTTCTCTAACATTCATTTAATATTATCCTTCCAGAAGTAACGTGTGGAATGCGTAATAGACCGTCCCTCTTACCTACCGGCGATGAATCCTGTTTCCAAAAATGAGCCTCTGGCGACAGACACAATGACACACGAAATGATTTTAAAAGGCCTATCCAGGAGCCCTACTGGTATACTTGTCACCAGGTCAGTAACGTAACATAAAATAGATTCACGTTGAAGCCTCAGAAAAAAAACGGACGCTGGAGAGACAAGAAGTTTGCATTTGAAGGTTAGGAATACGAATAATGATCTGGGATGTTCCTTCGCCACTAAACGTTCACATTAAGTACTGAAATCAAAGAGCCCACAAATACATACTCCCTACGCCTCTACTTGAAACCAGATCCTTGACGTCAAAAAAGTCTGGGTTATATCACATTAACGCAGTAAAAATCTGTTTAAAAAAACAGCCACGGTGGTCAAGCGGTTAGGACGCTGGCCTTGTAATCCTGGGGTCTCGGGTTCGATTCCCGGCGGTGCCCGAATTTATAACTTGTGTTGGGCAAGATCGTGGTCTAGGCAACACGGGGTTTTCCTCCGGGGGCTTCCCCGGTTTCTCCATTCACACACAGAAGCAGGCAATGGCAAACCACTTCTGGATCATCTGCCAAGAACGTATATGAACAGGTCCCAGTCCGAGAAAAGGATGGAAGGATCCTGTTCATATGGACCTGTCGTCAGACAGAACACTAAAAAAATAAATATAAATAATAGAAAAGTAGTTAAGTGATACAAAAGAAAGTAGCATATAATTCATTGAATTGTACACGTAGCTCAATGAAAGTAAAGTCAATTTCATTAATACGACACTGACAAAAATTCGGTCGGTAGATTAAGGCAAGGTCAGTATTTGTTACAGTATCCGCAGCACGGCGCTGCTAGGTGCGATGACCTCTTCACGTGGTGGTGGTGGTGGTGAAGGCTAAGTTGCAAGCGGTAAGAAAGCCAATCCGGACGTCAGTCGTGCTGGTAACGGATACCTGGCCTGACAGTCCCATGTGTGCTCCTGAGGTGTGCGCGAGTGACTGTAAAATGCTAACGACTCGGTAACCGTACATCGCCTGCACCATGAGGAAGTATCTTTCGGTAAAGGTCAGTGCTCAACACTTCAATTTATCGATAGTTTTATTCAACATTCGTTATGTTTTGTTTTCATATACCTGCATTCTTAAAGGGCATGGATCAATATGCAGTATGTATAGTTTCGTGAGGCGAAATTTTGTGGTGTGCTGCGTGTGAAAAGGTTTGAGGAATACTGAATTAGACGAATTTAGTCCACACCCGTCCCCATTAATTCAAGGCCAATTTTAATAATGTCCTTCCAACTATACCTAGGTCTTCCAAATTAGCTTTTATCTTCATGTTTTTTGTATCTCTCACGCAAGCTCCACCTCACCATCCTGTCTTGCGGTTTGTCGCCTCCCTTCTGCTTGCTAAATAGTTTTCTCCGTTGGCCTATTATGTCCTCTCTTTTAAGTCCAAAGCTCTCCTCAGTAGCCTCTTCTCAGACATCCCCATTCCACGCTGCCGTTTCTTCAGAGTGAAAAACAAAGTTTTACAATAACATAAAGAAATCAAGTCTTCTGCGTTTAAGTGAGTTAGACCATATACACTCTTAACACACGGCGAGATCAATCTGCCCGTCTCCTTCTCGACATCTCTCTCCTGCCTTATTTTATTTGTAGTGTTCTGTCTGACGACAGGTCCATATATTATGAACAGGATCCTTCCAACCTCTTCAGGTTGTCAGGGACCTGCTCATACATATATACATTCTTGGCAGAGATGATCAGAAGTGGTTTGCCATTGCCTTCTTCTGTGTGTGAGTGGAGTAATTGTTGGGATGCCACGGAGAAACCGGGGAAGCCCCCGGAGGAAAACTCCGTGATGCCTAGACCACGGCCTTGCCCAACACAAGTTATAAATTTGAGCACCACAGGGAATTGAACCCGGGACCCCAGGCTTACAATCCTAGTGTTCTGACCGCTAGACCACCGTGGCGGTCTCTCCTGCCTACAAAACTGTAATGTAACAGTTGTTACGTTCACGTATGTTCAGCACAGGCAACTTGGTGCTAGAATATCACTCAAACGTCCAGGCTTCAATGCCAGGGCAGTCATTATGAGACACTGTCGTGGCACTGTGGCCGTTGGTTCAGTCAATTCTCCAATCCATGTCATCACTTTGTGATGTGCGTTAGGCCGGACCAGCCAGCACGTTATCACAGCCTCGGTTCTCAGCTGCATATTAATATCTGACACACCACTTGGTTGAACTCTGTAAACAATTCAACTTAAGTGTTTAGATCACTTCAATTTCTTTCAGTCTCTTGTATTTCTGACGTCGCGGAACGTTAATAAGCATTTAAATGTTAATCCTTGCTTATTTCTCTCAGGCCCCATATCTCTGAATAGCCTGCATTGTTCTGTGTTCCCTTTAAAATGTTGTAAACTCGCAGAACCCTTGTGTCTCTGATGTCAAAAGTCCAGCATTACTCAATTCTTATTTGCGTAACAGATTCCCTGCACGTACCTACGCGTTTACAGTAGACCCACATACGCACGGTAACGGCATATCCCTTTCCTGCAAACAGTTTCATCAACACATAACGTTCCTTCAAAAAATTAAGGAAAAAGTTTACGACAACGAATTCTCTGAATACGATTTCATCCCCTGTCAAAAGATTAAAATGATCCGTAGTTTTATAAGTTCATTCTGAACAGGTACAGGACTTATCAATGAAGAACAATTCGCTAATAATGGTGTACGTAACTGAGCACCACGCCACAGAGTGGTGACATTTCTTAACACCGGCACTATTTTATATGGGCGAGCTTCACGCCCCAGCCGCTTTACCATCGAGGATACCCACTGGGTAGAAGGCTGGGGTGGCCCTTGATCCGGTCTCGGTGTAGTGGTGAAGACAGAAACCCTTTTCTGCTAGGAATCGAACGCCGGTTGTCCAGACCGCAGTTTTGTCAGCATATTAAAAAAAATTCGGTTTCGTAAAATGCACGGAGATCTTTCGACTATCAGTTTCTCAAGGAGGACTCGACTCTACGGATTTATCGAATTTAATTGGTGGTCGCGCAAGCATACACAGCTCCAGAGAGTCGAAGTGATGAAACACAAATTTTTGTGGTGGCCAACAAGTCTTAATACGTACTTGGGAGGAACACGGTTCAGATTACTGCAGCAGCGACCATCAACAGAGACAGAGGACATCGGGGGGAGGGGGGGCACGACTAAAACAATTCGTCTCATTCCAACATTGACGGAGGTCGACAGTGCGTTGTCCACAGTCTGCTACACTTCTTCGAAAAGCGTGTGATGTCAGTGCCGCGGAAGTAGCATGCGAGATCCTGATGGGAAGTTTCACTCTGATTCTCACGGTGTAGGACGACTAATAATGGTACTTATACCAGTTAAATGTTCGTCCGTTCGCATGCTGAGTCCAGGTGCAATAACCGGCTACGTATTTCCCGTAGGAACACATGCATGCTGTACAAACACGGGAGGGATCATTTTCGTGGATGGATTACAGACTTTATTCTTCGTGTGATTAGTCCTTCTGTCCGGTTATGTAGTAAAGGAACGCTGACACCGCTGTCGGAGTTGAGTAATGCGGAAGCACGCAGTTACGCATTCAACCTCTGGCTCATGACAGGCTAGGCTGCAGTCTGCAGTCGCAAAGTGGACTTGACCTATAATTCTTTGCGTCTTTTTCGAAACAAGCAGCTGGGCAGTGCCGTGCCTTAAACAAGGTTCCCTTTAAGCTGCGCGCGCATGCAGCTACACAGCTAAAACTCTGAAAATTGGAGGGAACACAGATCCTAAACCGACGTAAATCTTTACCAATGGTTCCATGGTAAAGCGACGTAAACGAGGACTGTCACAAAGCGGGCCTGATCGTAGATGGATACAGCTGGCAACAGAATACAACGGTTTTATTACGAGATACCACCAGCGAACGTGGTGTATTCTGCGGTCTACTACTACACAGTCGAACTCCAATGGAGTGCAGCACCTTTTGGCCACAAATATCCGTGTTAAAGTGATGCTTGGGTTTATTTTTATCTATGAATGTATTAAAGTTTCATATGGTGTGTGAAATACTTTAGTTATGATCTTCAGAGTATAAGAAAAGGCAAAATTGTGGCTCATATATATGTATTAATCAACTTTTGTAATACTCCCTTTCAATAGACGAGTCAGTCCTGTTACCGCTTTAACAGTTGTAATCGCCCACAAATTATGTAGTTTGCAGTCTGTGCTGTAGCGAGAATTTGCTGCTGTGTCAACCCTTTCTACCTCTGATGCATCAAATGCGTTCAGTGAATTGACACTTCAAAGCTACCAACCGAACGTCGCAATATCGTGGTCCCGGGTTCGATTTTCAAGATTCACATTGTTTGTCCTAACTTGTAGCCACTATGCGGATAGTTCCAAGCAAAAGTCTAGGACGAACACTGATATCGTTGAAGTGGTCGTAACTCTGAAGACAGGCACTGACTGCAGTAGTCCAGTTGTCTCCTCTCCAGTAGGAACCGCCAGGATAAGGCGGCCAGAAAGATCTTTGTGTTCTCCTTGCGGAAGGAAAGATTTAAATATCATTTAGATGAGCTTCGGCTACAGACAGTTGAGGTACTATCTCATATTTTGCCAGGTTCCA